CATGAGGTCCTGCAAGACGAACGCTGGCGGCATGCCCCCGCCCCTAGCCGCCTCCCAGCGAGAACCTAGGCCCTAGGCGCGTGCAGCCACGTAGACTGCAGGTGCACTGGGACCGCTTTCGTACCGTCCGCAAAAAAGTGTGTAGAAAAAAGGGTAAGTGCAGACAGGAAGCTCAGCTTAAGGTTGTGGGCAGCTCCGACTTGACTGCTTCAGCTCATTTCAGCGGGAGGATTAGATCATTTAGTGGGGATTGTGTCGGGCTTTGTTGGCTTCAGACATGATAAGATTGGGTTGCGGCGTCCGGAAACGAAGGCAGGGCCGTGCAAAGGTTTTGGGGGCTACGTGGTCCGAACCACAAGGCAGTGTCAGGTTGGTGCATGTTGTTCAGGTTGCGGACGCCCGGGTTGCGGAGGCGCGCGCCGCCGTCGACGCTTTGGAAGCTTGAACATGTGTGTTCCGGCTCAAGCACTGGAGCAACCATCGCTGGCAAAGGTTTCAAAAGACCTGCGATAGAGGACGCTCAGAGTCTTTGCAATCGACACATTTTCACGAGCCAAGTAGCACATCACAATGCACATCATCACTTATGAGCAATGAGCAGTGCATGGACCGTGGTTGCGGCGACCATGTTCCGTGGGTGCCCCAGCACATGGTAGACATTGGTAGGACTGGCACCATCAGTGTCGGCCAGGTTGGTCATGTGGGTACCATCCTGTGGATGATATTGTTGGTGTTTGGACTACACCACCGAAGCAGGTTCCCAGCAAAGGCCAGGTGGACTGTCAGCCAAGTGTGGCACGGCCTTGTTTGGTCGCAGCATGTCGCAGCCAGGACTTCCAGATGGTCCACTGATAGGCGAGTTTGTGCCTTTTTGCTGGCAGGTTTCGCAGTATCGAGCCTTACCGAGCCACTGCATGAATCAGGCAATGGTGATCTCGGCGCAGCGCTGGCTTGGCCAACGTCATCTCCAGAGCAGCTCGATGCCGCAAATGGGAATTGATGACGAATGGCATGCAACAGCACGTCGCCATCTTTCCGTTGCAGGATCGATATACACATTGGACACAATGCATTCTTTGCAGCACCTGTCGCTGGGACGACTTCGTGTGGATACGCGGCTGGAGGGCGCAAGGCAAGGTGCTAAGTGTTGCACCCTAATTGGGTTCTGATGCCCTAGCCCAACCCGCAATGGTCTCATAGCCGTTGGCGAAGTGTATACCCGTTGCAGCAGGTTGAAATTAGTTAAGGTATTAAGTTGAAACCATGGGCCCCTAGCATGGGCCCTTAAGCCTGGGATCCTGATATACCTACTATATACCCTATATGTACCCTTAAGGGTCCCTAGAAAGGCCTAAGGGTCCATATTAGGGGCCCATACTTCTAACCGTAGATAAGGGTTTTGACCGTTTGAGAACATGGTTCAGACATCACCATCGTACGTACGCCCTGTTCGTCCGTACATCGCCGTCGCAGTAGCACACAAGCCGCTGGTAAATGCACGTGTACAACATACCAGTTCAGGCAAGGACGGCATGAAGCGCGCACACACACACACACACTCACACACTTCCTTGCCTGACGTTGTCGAGCCGAGTGTAAAAACACGAACAGTCGGAACAACAAAAACATGAAATGTACTTGCATGCAGGCATGCGCACACACAAAAAAAACATGCATTCATGCAGGCCTGCATATGCACAGTACACGCGCGCAAGCAAAATACACGCATGTCGAATCAGATGTATACGCACACACATTGATTCTGGAGTTGGAACCTATTACAAGAGGCACCCGTGGCGACACGTGGCACAGCCCAAAGCCTTTCAGAAGTTAGCATCCAAATGTGGGTGCTCTGGGTTTCCATTGCCGTTGGCTTGGAGCTGCTTGTGTAAGCCTGAGTTCCGCGCCATGTTGCGGCTGCTTCTCGCGGCATCATTCGCACGAGGTCTGCCAGCACCTCAGCATGTGGCACACCTTCACATACCCCGGTGCAGCTGTGCCGCATTGCTATGCGTTTGTTCGTTCTTCTAGGTTTGGCTGGCCATGTCCGGGAAACACAACTGCCGACGATGTTCTGGCAGGCGAGCATTGAAGGTTCACGGAAGTGTCAAGCGTCCTTAACTTGAAAAGGATGTACACTACTACTAGCGCTGCGACGACGACTACTACTCCTACTGGTGCTACTACTACTACTACTGCTGCTACTACTACTACTACTACTACTGCTACTGCTACTGCTACTGCTCTTGCTGCTACTGCTGCTGCTGCTCCTTACACGGCGACTACTGCTACTACTTCTTTTCTGCAATCTGCGAAGGATCTAACCTAACTGGGAAGCTCGCCGTCGTGACTGGTGGTGACAGTGGCCTTGGATACGCCACGGCGCTTACTCTGGCGAAGCATGGAGCCAAGGCAACACTGCCGGCAGAGATCAGTAGCAGTTCGTCGAACTGCATATATGCAGGTTTACACGTATATACGTATATGTACTCGTACTTGTATATACGTATCGTATACAAACATATATAGCATACTATCATACCGTTTATCTTATTTGTATATGTACATGTTTATGTATAATTGTATGGTATAACTGTATAAGCAAGTTGCTAGGTAGATATGTACATAGATAGGCACATAGGTACACAAGTATTAAGATAGATAAACACATAAGAAAAGAGTTTCTGCCTATTGAGGAATACCATATGTAGGTATGGTTCATACGATGTACCGGTGCATATTTGTGTAACTGTTTCGGGGAATGGCGATGTGAACCACAACCTGCTTTTCCTGCACAGGTTGTCATTGGCAACCACAACATCACTAGAGGCGAGCTTGCGGCTCAAAACATTTCAAAGGCAACTGGAGCCAGTGTGGACGCTCGGATCCGGCTGGCTTGTGTGTGAAACCTCCTCAGAGGACGTAATCATGCTCTGAGACCGAGTTCAAAGCTTTCTTGCCCCAGGATGCTTTGCCCCTGAACCTGGGATCTCTGCAATCCGTTCGCTCCTTTGCCCGGACCTTCTACCGGAAATATGGCGAGATGCTCAACTTGCTGGTGAACGATGCTGGAATAGGCTCCTGCACATCTTCTCCACGGAGCAACTCACTTCTTGAGTTGGCTTCTATTGCAAGCTTTGGAGTCAGTAGGAATTAGGCAAAATCTACAGCGAAGAGGATGGTCGAGCACTGGGACTTTTTTGGAAGGAACAAGTTCCCAGACCGTTTGTCCGGGAGGCAGGTTCGCGAAGGTGTCCATGAAGAGTCTTTCAGGGTGGGGCAGCAGAGGGTAACGGGCGTCCAGATCAAGGAGGCATGACGTCTATGGGCAAGAAGTTGTCGGCGGAAGGCATGTGACGAGCCTATGTCCACGTGCATTATTCAAGAGAATATATGCTGACTCACGTGGCCCGTAGCATCAGTCGGTGTCAATGCTCAGATGAGTGCTGTCTCGCGGTCCGTCGCTCAGTCAGTGCCACGAAGGCCGCCTTATTCGCAGGTGCACCCAGCATTTTGAGCCAAGATGGTTTCGAGCTGGTTTTCCAGGTGCCGTGCTCAGATCGAAGTGGTTGACCGGCATTCTGAAAGAGTACAATGTACAAATAGTGATGAATGCTCCCGTGACGCAGCACCACCTTGCAGTTTTCAGGTGGACTACTTGGGTCCATTCCTGCTGACAGAGCTGCTGCTCCCGGCACTGCGGCGTGGACGACCTTCCAGGGTGCGTGCCTGCGAAACCCTGGCTCCATGCCGCCCTGCAGTGAAGAGTAATGTGACGCTTTGTGGCTCAATACCTTGCTCCCTCCCGTCAGGTCGTGAACGTTGCAAGCGGGGCGAGTGAAAATGCTTGTGAAGCAATCGGCCTGCCGCGAGACTGCTTTCATGACTTCTCGCATCTTCCACCACCCGTCGTTTCGAACAAGCCTGTGACGATTCACAGCCGCTCAGGCTGTCGGTGGGTTTGGACTGAAGGCTTCAGCATGTTTCCACAAAGTTGATCTAGACTCCAGAACCAAGCATGCCTTCAAGACTGGCGGTCAGCTGAATAGGCACATACCAGCAGAACGCCTCGAACTACGGCGTCGCCAAGTTCTTGCAGATACAGCATGCGGCTGAGTTGGCAAGACGGGAGTCAGGAAATGGTGTGGAGGCCAGCCAAGCGTCTTCTCTTTTGGGGAGAATCCACAGCTGTGCAGTAAACTTTCATTCTATGTGCCGGCATTCTCCGCATGGATGTGCCTGTGGGAGGCCTCTTCGCTCACACCTGGCTTCGCCCTGACCTCGCTCACGGAGAAGGTTGACATCCACAGCCCCTTCGTCAAGGTAGGCGGTTGCGCCCAGCCTCGCGGTTTGCTTTGGGAGTGCTGCTGATGTTGGGCTTTGAGTGTCGATGTGTGTGTCTAGCTGCAAGCAGACTCTTGGAGGCAGTCGACCTTCCGCAGGGAACATGCAAATCGTCTTGAAGCCTTATCAGGAACCAGCACAGGTGATAAAGTACTGAGGTGGTAGAACCCCATGGTAAAAGATGTGCAGCTCAAAACAGATTGAATTCACACATCGGTCTGCTCCGGCTTGAAACATCTTGCCCGACTGTTGCTCCTCCCTTTTCTGGTGGAGCCTTCGCAGGCGGTCTGCCAGCAGCAGGTGCACCCGCGCCCAGATCTCCCCGCAAATAGCTGCCCCTTCTCTGCCGACGAAGGAGGGGCGGGCAGTTCTGTGACACTGGGTCAGATACGCACCACGGACTTGCTCAGGCGCTGCCGTTATCGCTCATTGTGCAGTGGGCAACATCAGGAGACGGCTGAACGACCCATTGCGGACGTGTTGGTGTAGGGAATTGCCGATCCTTTTGCAAGTTTACATTGTTGCGAGATGACAGTCTCGCAGTGTCCTGGGAGAAGTTTGTGGAATGATGTGGAATGCTGTCTGAAACATGACAGTTCGATGCCCGTGGATGTGTCCAGTTAGAGCCGTTCCAGAACCTCTGTCAGGAGTGGAGCTTACTACTCGCGAACCTTTGCCTGCGGCCGGCTTAGCGACTTCTTGTCTTGCTCTGGCGCTGAGTCTTCAAGCCTGGGTCTTCTCAGGTGAGGAGCATCCGGTGACGATGCATGGATTCACAGAGTCCATGCAAGCAGAACTCTACGAAAAATCCTTGGCCTGGGCGGGCGAAACCCACGTGGCCAAGGATGTCCAGTACGTTTAAGTGTGGCCAGTGCAGGGAACATACAGGATAAGCGTCGGAGTGTATGCCCAGCTTGTTCATTGGGACGGTATCGGAAGACTGTTCTTGCTTTGCTGAAATTGGTGTTGACCCCTGCACTTGCAGCTCCGCCGACAACCGGTCGAAAGTTCTCACTCCTCGTTCGTTGGAACTTGTTCAACAATCGAGAGTTGCCAGGAGCCCCAACCCCTCAACCCTGGGGAAAAGCATGCCTGCTGTCCAGACATTGAAAGAGTGGAGGCGCTTGCCGGACTTTCTTTACGGCGTCTTGGTGGCAGTCTGGGTTGGGCATTTCATGGTGAACAAAGATTGCCAAGCTAGCCTCGTTGACACACAGCGGAGGTTTCTGAGCAACCCGGGGCAAGTGGTTCGTGCAGAACAAATGGCATCCAACGGCACTGTTCGCTTGCATGTGGCTTTGCCGTGCCGAGCTTAGAGAGGGCACCGAGCAGAAATCTCGGTTTCAGTTTTGACGCTGCTGAGGACAGGAACACGAACGGTGAGCAAGCTTCTCAGCTGTCTGTGCAACACTGCCGCCGTGGTTTCGATGGACCGTGCATGTCAGGCGCCTTCCTCCATGCAACCGAAAATGCAATGCTGGTCGACTTGCAGGCAGATGTTGGCAGTGAGGCTGGCCGGAGGATCAGGAAAGGAGGTTTCTCTCTTGCTGTTTGGCCCTGCCAACCCGTGACAAAATCCGGTCCATCGTTGACACCGTTTGACACTTGTGGATCAGTTTCATTGACCTGAAGATAGTCTTGACAGTGATTTGTTCCCAGCGACGTGTAGTGTAGTCTGATGCTGTTCTTGTCAGTAACTTGATGGTACAAAAGTTGAAACCTGTTTGTCATTTTCTAACTCCTCTTCTCCTGAAAGCCGCCTGGTCCGACTGGTGCGGCTAAGCTACTTTTGCTGCCACTACACTACACCTGCGAGGACAAGAGCAACCGCCACCGTCAACACCGGACCGTCACCACGCCACCACTGCCACCGCCGTCGCCGTCGCCGGATACGGCAGTGCCACCACCACCACCGCCGCCGCGACCACCATACCACTGCCGCAGCCGCCGCCGCACCGCCACCCAGCTGCTACTACTCCTACTAGTACTA